CAAGCTGCCATGTCTGGGACTCAAACCATGGTCAGACATGTGGGAATCCAGTGCCTTAACTACTATGCCACCTGCTGGCCCCTCTCCTGGTTATTTTAAAAGTATCTGACTCAGTATGCTTTCCTAGTTTTTTTTTTTTTTAATTTATTTTCTGACAATCCATACCATTCTCTTACACACTACCTTCCTCTCACTCCTAGGTTTTCAGTGCCCTGTGCCTTAACTATATACTTTCTCCACTGTTATCTTTCTTTTTCATTAAACTGTAAACTCCTGGAGGATTTGACTTTATTCATCTTTGTAGCTCAACATCTGGCAGAGCACTGACAAATAAAAAATGTTTGTAGAATGAATGAGGCCAGTCTGCAAAGAGCCTAACAAAACAGTCCAAATTTTTTAAAAACTTTTTTATTTTTAGAGAGATTTTTGCTATAGGGCACATATGCTCACTGGAGAGACAAAGAGAGCAGAAAGAAAGTGAGAAATCACCCCCCAGGGGTATGGCCATGCTGCAATCCCTTCTCCTACATTGTCTTGGGATTTCTGGTATGCATGCACACACATCTAGCATGAGTTTTAAGCCACCGGGTCCAGGACTTAAACCACGGTCGACTCCGTGGGAGTCAAGTGATGTAACCATTACATCATCTGCTGGTCCCTAGTTTAGCCTTCTTAAGGACAATGAAGAGATTAAAAAGTGTACATACATGGAAGGCAGAGATAATCAAATCTGCAATTTTAGAAAACAATCTAGGGAGAAAATAAAGGGCATTCAGTGAGTTCTTTGGGTCATGATAAAGAACAATGACACGGAGATTTCTTGTTTGAACAGATACTTGAATGGAGAACAATATTAAGAAGCTACAAAAAGGAGTAAGCACTATACTATAAGCCAATTCTGTACTTTTGGATTGGTATTTTAGCTTACTGACTTGAAAGGTCAAGTAATGTTCTTTTATTTATATGTAAAGCTATCTCATACTATAGGTGTTTTCTTACTTTTAGTTCTAACTAAATAATGGGGAAGTCAAATTTTGCTATAATAAAATTTTACTATAACAAAAATATTACCAACTTTCCTACTTTTATCAATTCAAATGTAATTTCAACAAAGTTTATCACTGAGGGTAATTCAGTAGGAACATATTTTTCAAGTCTTTTTTATAGCAATGTACTTGTTATGAAAAAATACTAATGTTGATTATGCTTGATTATGAGATTAATACATTTAGGGAATATAAATGACATTATTAGGTATAGTGGAAATTATCCCCCCTTCTGTCTAATAAATGTAAGAAGGCAGTTATAAAAACAAACAAACCTCAAGTCGCTCCCAATTTTGCAAGAAAACATGACTAAAAGGTTATTACTTATGCTTTCTATAGCAAGTACATTCTTCTAAGAAAACCATATCCCTACTTTATCATTTTAAAATTTTGCCAGAAAGTGCATTTGCTCACCAGAGAAAGACAGAGATGAGAGAGAGAGAGAGAGAGAGAGAGAGAGAGAGAGAGAAATAGCAACCTTCATAGGGGATGGTCATGCTACAGTCCCTTCTCCATTTCTCCCTTTTTTCAAGATTTTAGGCACCCATGTACATACACTAATTGTGTTATCTCAAGCCACCAGGTCCAGGACTCAAACCATGCAGCTTGCTATATGGAGTCTACCTGCCTTAATCACTATGCCACAGGCTGGCTCACCTCTACTTCATCTTTGAAAAAAAAATTCAACACTCAATAAACAAAGTTCTCTTTTAGCTCTAAATAATTGTTTTTTATGCATACTTCTTGTTAGAGTACTAGTTTAAAAGAATCTGGATAATTCTTTTATTCATTCATTAATTTATTTATTTATTGCTATAGGGAGTGTGCTTGCCACAGAGAGACAGAAAGCAGGAGAGAAAGAGAGAGAGATTACTTCCTAGGGGAATAGCCATCCTGCAGTCCCTTTTGCTCCAGTCTTCTCTTGGGATTTTGGGCACATGCACATGCCCAGAGGTGATTTTCAAGTCACCAGGTCCAGGACTGGAAACATGTTGGCTATGTGGGATCCAGTGCCTTAACCTCCACCCTATGTGCTGACCCAAATCTGGAAAATTCCTATCAGTTCATAAAACATTTGGCCTAAAAATCTAGATTTCTCTCAAGTCTTATGTGATTGTATTTACCTGTATCCTTTACCAATTAATTTTTATTTCAATTTAATAGCATCACCTAAATACCTATGGGAAAGATCTCATCATAAGCAGTCTTACCTACATTTCATCTTATCCAAACCTTTATTTATACACACACGCACATATATATCTCTTGATATAACTTGATTACCAATGCTAATACAAGGGTATATGGCAAACATTTTCAATGAAATGTTATCAAACACTAACAATTATTTTTTTCTCATCAATGTTTAATCTTATGTGTTTTCTTTTAGGACCAATATAACTGAATATTCTTACCAGGAATTACATTTTGTGTCATGATACAGAAATTGGGCAAATGAGGGACCAGCAGATGGTGTAATGGTTATGTTGCTGGAGTCCCACATAGTCGACGACAGTTCGAGTGCCAGTCCTGGTGGTTTAAAACTCAAGCGAGGTAAATGTGTGTGTGTAGGCCCAAAATCCTGAGATGAGAATGGACAAGAGATTGTGGCATGGCCATCACCCTGCGGTGGATGATTTCTCACTTTCTGTCTCTCTGGAGAGCATATATGTCCTATAGCAAAAATCTCTCTTCTCTCAAAGAAAAAGAGAATTTGAGAAAATTAGGTAAATTCAGCAATTATTAGAGAATAAAAACAGAATCATATGAAATGTGTCCAAAACCAAAATGTATGGAAAACAAAGGTAAAATATGAAAGCCTAACAATTTCTAAATTCTCACTTAAAAGAGTTCCAGGGGGGATATGGCAGGTGGTGTGGTGGTTGAGGTGCTGGATTCTCATCATGACCAACTGCAATTTGAATCCTAGACCTGGTGGCTTGTTTCCTCACTTTCCCTTTCTCATTCACTGTGTGTCTTTCTCTCTCTGGTCAAATTTAAAAAAGTGAAAATACATAAAATTCAATAAAAATTATTATTTTATAAAAAGAGTCCCAGAGGACTATTTCCTCTATTACCTGTCACAATACATAATTTAAACTTTTCACTTAACATTTTAAAGTAATATTCAAAGTTCCTGATAAAAATGATAGTTATACAACTCTGCATATAGTAAAATCCAATGAAGTGTACATTTCAAATGAATGAATTATATGCTGTGAATTATGTCCCAATAAAGCTGTTTAAAAACATTCTTTTATAAAAATTATTTTTAATTAACACATAACAATTATACATATTTATGAGGCACACTGATTTTTTGATATTATGCATGAATACAATGTGTATGATCAAATCAAGATAATTTGCATATTCATCACCTTGAACATTTATTTATATTATTATGTATTAGGAACATTAAAAAAATCCTCTCTCCTAGCTATTTTGAAATATATAATACATTATTGGTGACTATTATTGTTACCCTACTGTGCTACAGAACACTAGAACTTCTTCCTCTTATCTAACTGTAATTTTATATTTGTTAATCAGCATCTCTCTTTATTTCTATCCTTCCACCTTTCCCACCTTCAATCTAATTAAAAAATAGACAAATAATTTCAACAGATTTATCAAAAAAGACATACAAATGGCCAACGAGTGTATAAAAAATGTTTAATATCACTAATATTGGAGAAATGCATCATATTGAAACTGTAACGAGATATCACCTTACCCCACCTTACTATTCAAAAGACAAAAAAAAAAAAAATCACAGATGCTGGTGAGGATGCAGAGAAAGGGGAACTAATATATTGTTGGCAGTAATGTAAACTAGTAAAAATGCTCTTGGTAGAGCAAGGCTCTTGCTTATAGCCTTAAAAAAGCAAAAAAGATAAAATAAAACAAAATAAACTTTATTTAGTAGTAATCAGTATTCCCTGACAAACTAAAACAGTGTGTATAATTTAAATATCAGCTT